TGCCTCAATTATCTGCAAGGATAACCATTCTCAACTTGTCACACTGGGCGATGCCATAACCTCCATCACCGCCAGATAAAGAGCAATCTCACAGCAATTCCATGTTTAATTTGGGAAAGAGGCTTAGCAAAGTTGACCAATATTCAGGTATTAAATTGTTTTGTGGAAACCACCCATGATATAAAGGAGAAGGTGGAAAAATAATTACCGTATTTTTCGCTCCATAAGACGCACCTTTCCATAAGACGCACCGATTTTTTAGGAGAAGAAAACAGGAAAATATAATCTGTTTTCTTCGCTCCATAAGATGCACAGACTTTCCACCCCCCTGTTTTGTGGGAAAAAAGTGAATCTTATGGTGCAAAAAATACAGTAGATTTTGGATGCTATCACTATATCACAATTTGCAGAATCTCCTGAAATTATGAAAACTAATTTTGATGACTTTAATAATAACAATAATAACAATAACAATAACAACAACAATAATGATGATGATGATGATGATGATGACGACGACGACGATGATGATGTGATAAAGAAGCCTGTGGTCCACAGCTTCATCAGATGTTACAGCAATAAATATCCTACTGTACAACATTCAGCTGTCATCCAGCTGACAAGCTGCACACAAACAAAACAGCCTGCCTTATACCATTTTGAACCACTGATCCAGCTAGCCCAATACAATCTCCTCTCACTAGAAGTGGCTGTCTTGGTTCTCAGTCTTTTCCTATCACTTTGCTACTTGGAGATGCCAAGGATTCAAATTCAGGACATATGTGCATTCAAAACTTCTGCTGTGCTAATGGAGCCCTGGTCCCTCTCCAGACCTAGTCATAGTTTTCCATACAGAACAATTCCTTGCAGAGATGGTCACAAAGCAAAAAGGTAAGGTAAAGGTTCCCCTTGACATTTTCAGTCCAGTCGTGTCCGACTCTAGGGGGTGGTTCTCATTCCATTTTCAAGCTGTAGAGCCAGCGTTTTGTCCGAAGACAGTTTCCGTTGTCACGTGGCCAGCGTGACTAGGGAACGCCGTTTTACCTTCCCACCGAGGTGATACCTATTTATCTATTCACATTTACATGTTTTCGAACTGCTAGGTTGGCGAGGAGCTGGGACAAAGCAACGGGAGCTCACTCCGTCGTGTGGATTCGATCTTACGACTGCTGGTCTGATGACACTGCAGCACAGGCTTCTGCGGTTTAGCCCGCAGCGCCACAACGTCTCTTGCAAAGGACTCAGCATATGATTATTCTTCTCATCTTCTGACTCAATGCTAGCAAAATAACAACCTGCCATTCCCATGCAATTTTAGACACCATATTTCCAAGCAGGTTAGGCATCTACCAACGTACAAAACATCTGTCAAATGGGTTGGTGGTGGAATTCCAGTTCCTCCTGGAAATCAGCTGAGCAGATATAATTTCTCAAGAGACCTGTTCCGAAAAGTGCAGGAGAAAAATGCACACAAGAACCATCAACCAGGTGGTCCATTGAGAAGAAGGCCAGAGCCCTGTAGCCATGGAAGATGGAATTATATCCCCCTAGTTGAAGAGAAAAGGGTGGAGCCTTGGAAAGTGATTACTGAATGAAGCATAAAAGAGGTCTTACAACCATCAGTGGGGAAAAAAACCCTTCTAATGGGAGCTAATGTTGCTGTCTATGGGCACCCCATATCAGGCTGAACATGACATGTCTTCTTCCCACTGCAATTATATGTAGTAGTGCTGCGGGTGGAGAGTGACTCTTACTTCTCCCTCATTCTATTGATTCTGCCTGGTATCACTGCGATGGGAACAAAGCTAAAGTACACGGCCTACTCAGAGGCAAATGGAATGGAGGAAAATGACATTTATTCCCATCTGTATAGGACTACAATCCAATTACTTTATTTGGGAGTGAGCTCTACTGAAGCTAAACATCCTTGATAAAGATGCATAGGATTGCAATGTAATAATGTTCACCTATCACTGACAGTGTGTGGAAGTTACTACCACGGGAACATTTCTTACATTGATCCTTATGGGTAAAGCCATCAAATGGCACCCAGTAGAGTACGTAAGGTTCAGACTCCTCTTCTACTTGGACAGATAGGAACATGACATTTCATGCATCCATACAATTTTTAAAAATCACCATTACCTTAAAGAGGTCAGCAAAACCATTTCACATTGACATCAAAAGGCAGGAGCTTGGCCTAAAACTTAATTGACTAAATCACTGTAGTACCAAAACTGAACAAGGATCATCCTTCATATCTAAGCTGCCTTGGGTTCTTTTTAAAGAGAAAGGTGGGATAAAAATATTTTAAATAAATAAATAAATAAATATTTTAAATGAAAGAGAGAGAGAGAGAGAGAGAGAGAGAGAGAGAGAGATCCTATTTTTGGACTTGAAAGAAGAAAATGCCCAATTGAGAAAAAGAACTGAACTTTAAATACTAGTGCCACCTTAGCCATTGCCTAGACATCAATACACAACAGTTATATGACATTTATCCAACAAAGGCTCAAGAAATGAAAGAACACTAACTGAATCATTCGATCCATCTAAGCACTTATATTATGGGTGGAGTAGAAATTTCACTTCCAATCTTACTGTGCAGTATAACTCATAATCCCTCTGGCATTCTGCGTTTGTATTCGTTGCTCATTTTCCCAACATGTGTGTGTGTGTGTGTGTGTGCGTGTGCGTGCATGTGCGCGTGCACACATGTGCATGTGTCAGGCTACAGCGAAAGCTTGCAGTCCAATCTGGCTTTTTTTTCCTATCTGTCATACTGAAGCATATATTCTTCCATGGACTTAAGTATTGTGTGCATTTTTCAAAGGTATGAGTTTCTAGCACTTTTTAAAGTATGGGTGTTGTCTGTGTGCATTCCTCACTTCTAAATGTACTGCAAGCCTTTATGGTGTTTGGTTTTTCCAAGGAAACACGTTATTCCTTCTATTGCTGGTCAAGGGAAATAGACCTTTCCAAGTGCAAATGAAGATGCAATACAATTCCCTTCCATCCATAGTTTCTATACAGGTATCTCATGTGATCCCACTTCATTCACATCACGTTCAACATTGCTGTTGGCTATATGCTTTCAGTATGCAGGACACAGAATTAAACTAATCCCTAAGAATATATGGCAGTTACTCCATTGCAGTGTTAATTACTGCAGCTGCAGATCTGCTAGTATTAAGTTTAACTTTGACAGAATAGCTCATATAGAACCCATACTATACCGAACAATTATTAAAAAATAATATGGTAAACAATAACATACCTAGGGTTGATTGTTTTTTTTAAACAGAAGTTGTCTCAAACACTTCACAAATAGATTATTCTACAGTTTAATATCCTGAAATTTCACATTTAAAAACAATCAGCTGTCCCCAGCCCAGATCCTGGTTTTCAGGTTTATGATTCCACAACAGCTGGATCAAGCTGAATCCATTTTTGCTTCTAGAAAACTACGCCTGAAGTGAAATTGTTCATGTCTTAATTTAGCTTCAAAAATGTTTCAAAGATGATTTATAAGATCTTCATAACTCTGATCTGCAGAGGAAATCTGCTGTCTTAGTGGAAAATGCCTCTCTATGTCTGATACTGCCATTAAGACATCACAGGGATACATTATGTGCAATCCTAACAAAAGGTCTACACAGGTGTAAGTCCTCCTATATCCAATAGGACTCACCACCACCTCAGCTAAGTGTGTATAGCACTACAATTTAAAGATAACATTTACTCTTATGTTGAGCGTCATTTCATTTTCCTTGTAGCACATGCCTGATTATGCTAACATCACTCATACCCACGGTATAATAATACAGAAGCTAGACTACACTGTATTTACTTCCACGTAATACAATTAGAAGCAGGTGCCAAAGAGAATCAGGGAAAAGTGCAGGCACTGATAAATATAACTTCATGCAAGCTTGTCTGGAAACAAGCCACGCTGAACCCAGTGGATTTGACTCCCAAGTAGACCTACAAAGGAGGAGACTGCCTGTTTGGCAGATGAAGAGTTCAGAACCAAAAATCACAGCACTACTCAGCTGAAGTAAATGGGAAAAGAGCATTCTTTCCAGTTGTAGTAAACTGTAACACTTCAAAAATAAAGGACAGCTCTTTAAAAAAAGGGGGGAGTGAGGGCAGAAAAGTGGAAATCTACAACTTTCCATTTTACACAGCAATAAGAATAAGCGATAATCCAACTTCAGCAACTTAAGAAATTGATTCCCTGCCCCTTTGATTTAACTTAATTCAATAAACGTTAGGGAGATTTCCTGGTCAAATACAGTTCAGAAGGGGGGGGGAGTTCCCATCACTTTCCACAGGATTCCTCATTAATCACGGACGACCTCCTCCTCTTCCTTCCCCCCCAGCGAACAAGCCCCGTTGGCGCGCCTTTCCTAAGCCACTTCGGGCGGCCAAACATCAATCGATGGGGAAGTGCATTATTAAATTAAAAGTTTTGCCGCTGAGTAATGGCAGAGAAGGCGAAAGGGCCCCGTGGTCGCCTGGTTGAAAAACCGCGGCATAGGTGCCGATCCTGGTCCTGACGCTATTTCCACGTCCCCCGGCCTTGCGACCAACGTGTGCCCGGCCTCATGGATGGCTCCTCGCCCAAACCCCTGCAAGGTGCATCCACGGCCGAAGGTTGGCACCCCGGCGATGCCATGCATTCATGCCATGCCCACCCACAAAGGGAGCCAGCGCCGCTGGTGAGGGGGGGGGACACAAAACCCACCGGGAAGCCCCGCAGCCTCCCTTGCCGAGCACCTCCCCTTCCTTAAAAAAGCAGGCAAGTGACGAAACGTTTGCAGCTGCTCGCCACCGGAGTTTCCAGCCGGCCCGGTTTCCCCGAGAGCGGGAGGCACGGGAGGTAAGCGGGGTGCCCACACACAGGTATGCGGAGAGAGGGGGACCTTCCCGTCCGCTTCGGAGGAGGCTCATCCGCTTTCTCCGCCTCTCCTGCTGAAAAAAGCTGCCTCTCCACTCACCCGCGCTAGGCATTCCTCCATCGCCCGTGCCCAGCCATCGAGCTCGCCAGTTACGTCCCAGCTCCGGTTAAAAATCCCCGGCGGATCTCATCCTTGGCACACTACTCTCCGGCGCCCTCCCCTCTTCTCCTGCCAACCAGGTGCCCAGGTGTTCCGCTCCCTGATGGCGCCCGCCTTGCCCAGGGACGCCTACATCCGCTTCACACCGAGCGGCCGTCCGCGGCTGCTGCTGCTGCTGCC